ACCACTGCATGAAGAATAATTATTACCCAAAAGCATTGACTGCATTGTAATTATCCACACAGGCTACTACACGATAACTATGTGGAAACCATGTCTTTCATGCAGTGGTGTAGGATTTCTTACATCACCAGTTTGCAAGTACCCTCTTGTTTCTTTACTTTTTTACAATTTAATCCTACTACTTTTCCATTTTTAATGTTTTTTATTTACTTGTTTCCATTCTTTTTTCTTAAATTAATAAATTACATTCTGTTTTCAGTGTTTTGATTATGTGGTTAGGTTAATCATATTCATGCTAATCACGTGCGCATAAATTGAAATGGCGTCAAACCACAAACCCACGCGGTGCTCCAGCTGGAATTTGTCTTCCATTGTTCTCTGTCCTTGCTTCTTTTTGAAGCCACATGTCCAGTCCTTGACTCAAGCACAAAGGAATGATGTAAAAGCCAACTCGAGCGGTTCCCTGGCTTAAAAGATTTCCGTGTTGATAGAAGATGAAAGAAGAAGAAGAAGAAGAAAAAGTCTGAAGAATTTTGTAGAAATTTGAATTTGGGCCTATTTTCCAGAAATGCTCCCGCTACATTACAGTCCACCTTAAAGGTACCAGGAGAATCGCTCAGTGAAGGAGAGCTCATCTAAGCCATTTATAAGGCTTTGCAACGTAAGATAAAAGAGTTATAAGTGTTTGAAAATCATTAAAACGGCCGCCATTTTGAAAAATCAACCTTAATCCTACATATAGGCTACCGCCTATATAATATTTGTTGTGATTAATTGTGTAGTCACCATTGTTTGTAGTGTATATTTGTGAAACAAAGCACGTTTTATACAGTCACTTGTTCTGTTGATTAACTGCTGACTGACATACATGTACATGTTGGGCCTCTATTTTGTGGTTAGAGGTACCCAATTTAATAATTTGTACTTTTAACAAAGAATGCTGTACCTAAATTTGTAAGTACATGTGTGTGTACCGTAGGGTACAGGGCTGTAAATTTTACGAATTGGCCTAAAGATCTATTTTGCAGATTTAATTATCGTGAATTTAAACCGTCTCTTATCATCTTGTACCATAATAATTTGATTTTTGCCGAATTAGTTTCTGTGAATCTTCAAACAGTCTCGAAATCTACCACATTTACAGCCCTGAAAAAAAGGCACCCTGCGCCTGTGGTATATTAACTTTCTTTTGTTGCATATTTCATACTATGTTTGGTTTACATTATACTTTCTACTTCTTGTAGCATGAAAATTTTTCTGTAAATGCTTTATAATTTTTAGTCTAATTTTAGATTTTTTTACTGTTATTATATTATCCTAGGGTCATGCATAAATTTTGTT